TAATAGAACAACCAGTGCTATCCACAATCTCCTGACAACCAAGTTGTTTTCCAGAGAAGAAGGAATGTCTATAGCAAGCTTGTCCAACCCATGGCCTGTGGGCCGCATGTGGCCCATGGCTTTCAATGTGGCCCACTACAAATTTCTAAACTTTCTTAAAACATAATCAGATTTTTTTTGCGATTTTTTTTTTTTAAAGCTTATCAGCTATCATTAGTGTTAGTGTATTTTATATGTGGCCCAAGACAATTCTTCTTCCCATGTGGCCCAGGGAGGTCAAAAGATTGGACAGCCCTTGTCTACAGGCTTGAGCAGCAAGTAATTGCCCCAAAGATGGCTGTCGAGGAACAGGGCAGATGGATCTGAAATCCGTGATAGTGTTTGTCAGGCATAATCGCCAGATGGAAATCATGTGAGAACCAAGAGGATTAACCAAGAGATTACCAATATGGTGACCAAGGCCTTGATTGTTAGAATTGAAGAAGGAGCTCTATTCTAGTCCATTTTCAAAATTCAGTAAGAACCGAACTAGCCTAGCTTTTCTTCTCTTCCAAAAACTCTATTTTTATGTTCATTTACCTTAAAGAAACACTGCCATACATACATTCCCAGTTCGGTCTTGAACTCCTGAGCTCAAATGCTCCTCCTGCCTAGGCCTCCCAAAGTGTTGGGTTTACAGGTGTGAGCCCCTGCACCTGGCCATTTTCTCCTTTTTTCTACCTTTTCCACAAATAGTTGCTTTTTATATTGTAACAGTTAAATTCTATAGCATAACTACTTGCATTTGAAATTAAAAGGACTATGACAATGGAGTGCTTTTTACAGCCAATTGTTTTATACATTTTTACAATCTTTTACGTATGATATTTTCTTTCTTTCTTTCTTTCTTTTTTTGGAGACAGAGTCCCACTCTGTCACCCAGGCTGGAATGGAGTGGTGTGATCTCAGCTCACTGTAGCCTCAACCTCCTGGGCTCAAGGGATCCTTCCACCTCAGCCTCCTGAGCAGCTGGGACTACAGGCACGCACCACTACACCTAGTTAACTTTCTGTATTTTTTTTTTTTTTTGTAGAGACGGCGGGGGGTCTTACCTTATTGCTCAGGCTGGTCTCGAACTCCTGGGCTCAAGTGTTCTGGCCTGCCTAGGTCTCGCAAAGTGTGCTGGAATTGCAGGTGTGAGTCACTGTGCCTGGCCTACTTATGGTATTTTCGAACAATATGAAACCTTTCAAAAAACCAGTCTAGTGTCTAGTCCATGTGGAAGACCAAACTCAGAGTAGAATATAGTATTTGCTAACTAAATCCAAGTTGCAGGAGCTTAGAGATTTAAATATCAAGGTTTGTACAATATTGTTTGCTAATTCTAAAATAAATTCATGATCAGTATGCATTTGTGGTTAAATGTATTCTCATTCTATTATATAAACAGATTTATTCTGAGGATGTTTCCAAAAGTGCTTATGCAAAATTATTCTGCCAGAAATGTAGGCCTGATGGTTTATTCTTACAGGTTTATTCTTTATATTTTTATAGACTTATTCTTCCTGTTTGTGCCAATGTATCAATCTAAAATTAGTTTGTTTTCTTTCAGTCTGTTTATTGCTTCTGAAAAAGGGGACGCTGCTCAGCTGGTGTTGGTGTTGGGCTTGACGACACTGTTTCTGTGAATGTTGAAAAACTACAAACTAAAATCAATGTGGCTGCTTGTGAGAAAGAACTGCTGCTGCAGAGAAACTGTTAGAGTGGTGCTGATAGCAACAGAAACAACGGGAAGGAGCTCGTTTTCTTCCTCATCCGGCCTGCGTCCAGTGTCCCTCCAGCACCTCCTATTGTCAGAACTTAATAGGAATAGTTGGCAAAGCAGAAATGAGATTTCTAAGTCCCAGCGTCACAGAGCAAAATCTAAAAGGGTAGATTTGAAACTGAAAGACAGTAGCTTAACAATGGCATAGGCCCCTTTACTTCTGAAACACTATGATTCCATGCACCCAGAAGAATTGGGAAAGGCACATAAAGCGCCCGAAAGATCAGTGAAAAATGGTGAAGATATGGTGGAATTTGGGAATGTGTAGTTTTAGGTAGTTATCTAAAATTGTCCCTGAAATTGGTAAGTGAAATAAAGCTTGTGAAGGGATATTAATTAGGACACAATGGAAAGTAATCTTTATTTAGTTTATATTAGATAACTTTTTTTTTTTTTGAGATGGAGTCTTGCTCTGTCCCTCAGGCTAGAGTACAATGGCGCGATCCTGGCTCACTACAACCTCCGCCTCCTGGGTTCAAGCGATTCTCCTGCCTCAGCCTCCCGAGCAGCTGTGATTACAGGCATGTGCCACCATGCTTGGCTAATTTTTGTATTTTTAGTATAGACGGGGTTTCACCATGTTGGCCAGGCTGGTCTCGAACTCCTGACCTCAGGTGATCCACCCACTGCAGCGTCCCAAAGTGCTGGGGTTACAGGTATGAGCCACAGCGCCTGTCCTAGATAGCTTTTTAAAAATTTTTGGCACAGTGTCAGACATTTACTGGAAGCTAAGTAAATAAGTGATGGTTGGTAATCTTCAAAGTTCTCTGGTTATAACTATACCGACATCAACTGGACCATTTTGTTTGAGAAACAAATTGAGAAAGTATCAAGTTTCTCCTTTAGTTTCACTTTTATCGTTGGTGCTTTACCAAGCTTGCATTTCTCTGGCTTCTACAGTCAGCATAAATAGTTCCTTTGTTTTCCAAAGTTCCTCCTGCTCCTCTAAATGCTCTATATCTAAAAACTCATTTAAGAAACAAGTTGGAAAGTTTGCGTGTATGGAATGTGCTTTCAAAATAAACACTAAAAAAAAAAATAAAAAATTTTTAAAACACCACTAAAAAAAAAGAAAAAAGTAGTTTTTTGAAATTCTAATGATTAGAAAGAATAGATGGTGAAAACAGTAGTTAGCTATCTAGCAGTGAAATAGTTGAGAAAAAGAGATAAGGGAAGTGATGATGATGATGATGATGATATTGGATTAAAAGAGCAATAGAGACTGGAACAATCAGGAAAAAAGAACAAAGGTCACTAGCAGAAATAAAGGACATGACTTAGCTCTTACAGAGCTTTACAGGTATTGTATTGTATTAATCTTAAAATGCTATTTTTTTTCCACAAATAGGATGCATTTTACAAACAATGCATGCCAAAGTTTAATTGGCAGTATCCTTTCTTCGCGGTATAGAAAATAATAGGTATTTTATAATCACTGGCATCTTAAATTAATATATACTAATCTGCAATTTACAGGAGCTACATTTCATGTACATAAGCAAGTATAGATCTGAAAAGCTAGCTGTAAAAAATAGCCAATGATTATAGAATATTCACAATGTACTATATCTAGTTTGCAGAATTAAGGAGGGGATTCTCCATGAACAGTGCCCCCCCAGCCAACACTTCAATATTTATACAACTTTGTCGATCACCATCCACGCTGTGATTCAAAATCTATTTCACAGGGCTATGTGTAGGAGGCACACAAGTTTTTCATACAAATGAGACAATTTTTGTGTGTGTGTGAACGGGGGGGCTATTACTGTTTTGGGAAAACAGATGTAACCCCTAACTATTCAGGGCAAGCCAGAGGTATGCTTACACTAGCTATTTGCCCTGCATTTCAGAAGTTTAATGCTAAGCACCTCACTAAACAGACAGTGAAATGCTGAATAAATCAAAATCTTTATCACTACATCACTGAAATGGAGGTAAGGAATATGAAGAACCCAGAGGAATCTGACACAAAGGCCCTAGGAGGTGAGGAAGGCCCCAAACTTAGGCTGGCTTCGGAAATCTCCTGCCCAGAAGATCTTAAACTCTCACTTTGTTGATAATGTAGGATGCCAAGGCAAGAGGTAAAGTCAAGGTCTGCTACAGTGCAGACTAAAACCTTCTGATGAACCTGTGTCATGAAAGGGTTATACCTGCAACGTACAGGTAAAGAGGCCTAGATCCTGCCATGCAGAATACAGGAGTCAAAATCAACAACAAAACCCCACACCTATCTCCAACCTGTCACTCTCCCTCGAGAATTTGTAAATCACAAGCTGGCTCTTATACAGGATTGTGGTCTGAAGTTGCACGGTGGTTTGAAACCCCTTAGTGAAGAATTTCATTCAAAGAGGTTCTGGGTAATGCCCCAGGCAACAGGCTAATGCATTCCCAATTCCCTCAGGAAGAACTCACAGTCAACTTAGGCCCCAAAGAATGTCCACAAAGTTTTAAGGAGAACAAGCTTATAATAAAAATGCACAAGACATACAAGGAAATAAAATACCATGAGTAAAAACCAACAGAAACAACAGATAAAGAATCCAGACATTGGAATTATCAGACACAATATTTAAAAAATGATTGGAAATGCAAATCAGAAACATGAAAATATATTCATCCCCAATAGATACCAGGGAAATGCAAATGAAATTCTCAGTGATACATCAATTCATATTCATCAGATTGACAGCAATGTTTTCAGTTGGCATTACCAGTTTGGCACCAGCTAGTTAGTGCATGTAAACATGTGCATACCCTCCATTCCTAGGGTATACCCTAGAGAAACTCTTACATATGTGCCAGGCGATGTAGACCAGAATGTCCATAGTAGTATTGTTTATAATTTAAAAAAACCTGAGAATAATGCTAATGATCCCCAATGTTAAAACTGATACATTGTGCTGTATTCATACAATGCCAGCTTATAGAGCAGTGAAAAAAAATAACGCACCTATTTGCATCACCATGGATGAATCTCACATACAATATTGAACAAAAGAATCAAGTCATAGAAGATGTATGCAGTGTGAGTCAGTCCACTTACATAAGTAAAAAAGGGTATACGTTGTTTAAAGACACATACCAAGGTGATAAACGGAAATGAAAGGCAAGGGAATAATCATGAAATTCAGGACAGTGGTTGTCCCTGGGAGAGGTGGGTAGCAAGGAAGTACGATCGAGGTAGACAATCGAGGGGTTTCTCAACTACCTGGTGATATTTATTTTCTTAACCTGGGTAGTAGGTTCATGGATGTTCACTTATCCTTTTTTAAAACGTACATTTTATACATACTTTTGTATGTATTCTGTATTTTACAAAAAATAAAATTAAATAAGAAATTATTCTTATAGTCCTTTTCTAACCCGTGGAGCCTTCTGCTAGAATTCTGTGCTGTTCACATTCTCAATGCCAGCTTCCTTAGCCATAAAGTAAAAGGGTCCAGGGGTTTGTAGCAGTTCTTCAGGGCTGCCGTACTCTACAATCTTCCCATTGTCTAGGACCATTACCCTGAAACAAGGAAGAAAGAAAGAAAAGTCTTAGAAAGCAGCATCTCAAGTCTAGGCATTTATAAGAATAACCAGGACTAAGTTGTGGTATAGTCAGACAAGGTTACAAAGCCCTGAAAATCAATGAGCCACAGCTACGCACATCAACATGGATTAATTCTGCAAATAATATTGAACAAAAGAATCAAGTAATATAAGAATACAGGCAGTATGAGTCCATTTATATGAGTTTTTTTAAAAAGTACACATTGTTTAAGGATAGATTGGTTTACAAAGGGTGCCTATCATCTCCAAACAGCTTTCTAAGATTACTGACTTTGATTGTAATATGACACAGCTGGAAGGAATAGAAAGCGTCTAGCTATTTCACAGAGCAGCAGCTGAGGCTCAGGACAGTTGGGAAGGTCTACGGTCAACATCTGCCTCTCACCGCTTGAGCTGCCACCTCCCCATACCCAGTTAATTGTTACAACACACAGTTTCCTATTTTACCCTCAAGATATGAATAGTTCCCTTAACCTTGTTCGCTTTCACTCGCTTGATGTAAAATTTTGGCCAGATTACTTGACATCTCTAAGTCTCAGTTTCCTCATCAGTAATATGGTGGTGGTTAAGCCTTCTGCCATTAGGTGTTTCCCGGCAGACACTGTTACTGTAGAGCAAGGGTTAAGCCATCTGTGTCAAGCCCTGTCCCCCCACACTCACTTGTCACTGTCCATGATGGTGTGCAGCCTGTGGGCGATGGTGATCACTGTGCAGTGGGCGAACTCGTTTTGGATGGTCGTCTGAATGAGGTTGTCTGTCTCCAGATCCACCGCAGCAGTGGCCTCATCCAGGACCAGGATCTTGGATTTCCGAAGCAGAGCCCTGCCCAGGCACAGCAGCTGCCTCTGGCCTATGCTGCAGCCAATAGAAGCAGCTATGCGTTAGCTCCTAAGGACCAAGGAAAGACGCAGGGCAGGGGACCATTTTCATGTTCCAGATGAGACTTTCAAAACCCCCACTCCAAAATTGCCCTGGAATGTTTGGGCCTCTTCAACAAGCCGTACGTTGCTATTGTGAGCATCGTTTTTCAAACTTCCCCGATTGAAGACCCACCCCAAGTACTTAATTAAAAAGTCATATTTCTGGGCCCCTGCTTTACTCAATCAGAATGGGGAGGAGCCTAGGAACGTGCCTTTTTACTAAGCACCCCAGACCATTTTTATGCTTAAACAAGTTTGGATAACACTGGCCCAGGAACAATGCTTTGCATTTGGTTGCCGTGATATCAACATTTCCAAAACAACATGAATGTCACCAAGTTTACTTTAGCAGTATTTGACCTGAAACCATTAATATAGGGAGGAACTACACTAGAATGCCCCAGTGGCATTTCTTTGTGGCCTTAGCAAATCCATTTATTATTTTAATGTGTAATTCTAATCTCAAGGCTAATTATTTGTTCAAAGCCTTCTGCCTTGATTAGAGATGAAGCTATCTAATGAACGTGATGTCTTGGTGTGAGATGCAATGTATGTGGAATTCAAATATGCTTGTAAAATGCAAATGGCTTTAATTTGCTAAAAGCCTGTAATGAAGGCTGGACCTCTTACTTACATAAAGAAGCTTTGGGAAATGATGTGAAGGAAATATTCAGGAATTTGCTAATTGCTCTTTCCTGCTGTGGCCATTAGGGAACATATTAAACAGGGGGTGGCTAAAGTTCTGTAATTCTCTGTAAGAAAATTTCTGCAGGAGATGAACTTCCAGTTTCCCTCCCGTAATGTAAGATCAGAGACACTGAAAAACTATTTACTTAGCTTGTACCAAACTCCTGCCTGGCCCCAAGTGTCATGTATACTTTGGACTTCAGAGTAACAGACTCTGTTGCTGGGGCGCCACTTTGGCTTTCAGCTGCTCTCGCCCAGCTGAACTTGCCTATCATTCAACAGAGAAATGTAAGTTTTAGTCCCCCGGTCCAGGTTTGAAACTCAGGTCTGAAATCAAGGCATTGGTAATACCATTTAAGCATCTCTCAGCTTGGACAGGAGAAAGATGGCATGATTTTTGTTTTTACAAACCAGAAATGTCAAGGCCTCCCATTGCACCCTATCATAGCATCCCACATGTCCCCTCTGTAGCACAGACTGTACTGGCATTTACTGTCACACGTCTGTCTTCATCATGCTGTTAAGTGCTAGGAAGTCAGGGTTGTGTCTCTCTTTGCCTCTGTATTTTCAGTACCTGGTACATAGTAGGTGTTATTACTGTTTTGTTTTGTTTTGAGACGGAGTTTTGCTCTTGTCACCCAGGCTGGAGGGCAATGGCGCAATCTCAGCTCACTGCAACCTCTGCCTCCCGGGTTCAAGCAATTCTCCTGCCTCAGCCTCCCAAGGGATTACAGGCATGCGCCACCTTGCCCAGCTAATTTTGTATTTTTAGTAGAGATGGGGTGTCTCCATGTTGGTCAGGCTGGTCTCAAACTCCCGACATCAGGTGATTCGCCTGCGTCGGCCTCCCAAAGTGCTGGGATTACAGGCATGAGCCACGCGCCTGGCCGGTGTTACTACATTTTTGCTGACTGAATGTTTGAATGATCTTTTACACTGGCCTAAAGACCTACTTGAGTCCTGCTAGTTGCTAGACCTGTTGTGGAGTGGAGGGAAAGTTACCTGCGATGCTCTCTACCAGGGCGTGTTCCCTGGGGCTACACACTGAAATCACCTGGGTCCCCGATTCGATTGGTCTGGGCTACAGTTTAGGCATTGGGAGTTTTAAAGCTTCCTGGGTGATTTTAGCTTGCAGCCTAGTTAATCACAAAACTCTAGGCAGTGCTTCTCAAGTGTAATGTGCACACAAATCACCTGGGAATCTTGCTAAAATGCAGATTCTGGTGAGTAGGTCTACACCCTGAGATTCTGCATGTGCAACAAGCTCCCAGGTGAAGCCAGAGCGGCTGGTCCATAAATCAATTACTGAGCCGTCCCTTCCTTCCTGAGCTTCAACTTGCAAATGGCCTATTCCCTGCCAACACCACTGAGGCACCTGGGACAGGAGCAAGACCTGTCCATGAGTAGTGGGCTTTGGCTGAGGGCAGAACTTCAGTGTATGGAAGGAAAAACAAAAATGTTACAGGAAAAATGCCAGGTCAACTTATTAATGGACAAACATACAGCGAAGGCCAGAAGTGAACTGTCAGCTATGTAAAAATGTTTTGGAAACGTAAAAATAACTGAAAGCCAAGAGAGTCTTTTGTTGATTTCAGGTGTTTCAGCAGTGCCTAAGGACTTTACAGATGTCACGTTCCCTGTCATCCGCATGCTCTTTAGATCAGTGGTTTTTAAACTGGGATGCGCTTAACAGCCTTGTGGGAATCCTTTAAAACTCCCCAAGTCCAGTCTAACCTC